GGCAACAGAGTGAAACTCTGTCTCAAAAATAAAAAAGATGTAATTACTCATGGAGTCCACATATCAAAATAATAATACTAAACAGTAAAATAAGTGCAGAAAAGTTCACCGAAGTTCTGATTTCTTCCTAAGACAACTACAACAACAACATCCTTTTTTGGAAGTATTCAAATTCTTAAAAAATATTGTTTTGTGTACCTGCTTTGTTTGCGCCATAAACCCAAGGGCATCTGCCTGCTGTACCATCCATTCACCACTGGGCAGGAGGACCACATGGATGAGCAAGAGTGACAGACAGACAGACAGACTCAAAGACAAAGGTAGAAGGTCTACTGGTCAGATGCACTGGGTGTGTCAGGAGGGCCGGGCCCAGCAGAGCAGGGGTGGTGTGCGAGGGCCTGCAGGAGATGAGGGGGATCCAAAGGCTTTGGTGGGGTCGGGGAGGAGGGTGGGCAGAAGGGAAGAACACCCAGGGAGAAGCCAGAAAGGGCAAGGCTGAGTGGCAGTTCTCAGTGAGAACACACTTGGCCAGGAGCAAAACCAGGCCCGCCAGGGTGTGTGCTCTTCACTGGGAGGGCAGGAGGCAGAGACTTGAGCAGACACTGGCCCACCCCATGCCTGGGGCCGCAGCGTGAGGGTGAAGTTAGGCAGCAGGGAGCACTAGGCTCAGAACTGGAAGGAAGCTTGTGAATCTCCTTCCAGGTGTCTTGGAACACAGGTAAAGGGGCTGTGTGTACACACGGGCCCTCTCAGGCCAGCCTTACCTGAGGCGACTGCCAACCCAGATGGGAGCTTGAGCCCCTGGATGTGGTCTCTGTTGGACTTGAAGGAAGGCAGTTTGATCCAGCCACCAGACTTGGTCTTCTCCAGAAATTCTTGGTACAGGCTCAGCATGTCTGGACACCAGCTGGCATTGGGAAGGGCATAATCCTTCAAGTCTGTCTTCTCTGGACAGAATCTTGAGACCTGGGCAGGAAAAACCAGGGGGACTAGCCAGTGTCCTGAAGGATGAGGGCTGCTGTCTGGGCTGCGGGACCTCTAGGTAGCCAGTTCCTGGGTTCCTGGGCTCCTCGATCCCTTCTACCAGAGTGTTAACCTGGGGGAAAGGGCCCATCTTCCTTGCAGAGGGTGCAGGGACACCTGTGGGTGACTGGGCAAGGAGACACTAAAGAGCAAAGGAAGGGAGGGCAGGGAATGGGTGCCAGAAATTCCAGGCATGCTGCTCCGTGGTGGTGCATTACCCTCCTTCTGCTTTGAAGCTGAGAACTGAGAATATTGGCCCCACTGTACAGATGGGGAAACTGAGGAAATACCGCCAAGGTTGCCAAGCTTGTGAGTGTGAGAGTGGGTGGTCCCACTGGACTTGGTCTACCGTAGGGAGTGAGGACAGTTGGTGAGGACCACTTTTCTGAGCCCTCACTTCAGGCGTTAACCCAGTGCTATCCCCAGCTGTGGGCCTGCCCAGGCAGGGCGGCTCCTCTAAAACATGTTTGGGCCCCCACAGTGGTGTGGTGCCACGGCTGGGGTAGAGGCAGTGTGTCCTTTTGTGGGACAAGGGGGAGTCCTCTGTAGCATCCGCTGCTCACACACCAATCACAACTGTGGGCAGCAAGCCAGCTGCTTCTGTCTGGGGATACCCCAGCTTAGCTGCAACAGACTGAGCCCCATAAGAGGAAGGTGATTTGTTGGTGGCCACACAAAATTCAGATCAGGATGCGAGTAATCTGCTGGTTTTAGTTTTGAACCAGGGCTACTTGGTATCCCAGAGCACCCTCCCCTTGCCAAATCAAATAGCTCCCCAAGGCCGGTGCGGTGGCTCACGCCTGTAATCCTAGCACTCTGGGAGGCCGAGGCGGGAGGATCGCTTGAGGTCAGGAGTTCGAGACCAGCCTGAGCAAGAGTGAGACCCCGTCTCTACAAAAAATACAAAAATTAGCTGGGTGTGGTGGTATGCACCTGTACTTTCAGCTACTTGGGAGGCTGAGGCAGGAGGATCACGTGAGCCCAGGAGTTTGAGGTTGCTGTGAGCTAGGCTGGTGCGACGGCACTCTAGCCTGGGCGACAGAGTGAAACTCTGTCTCAAAAGAAAAAGAAACAATAGCTCCTCAAAACACCACCCGCCTCCCCAAGCTGAGAAGAGGAGATCTGGGGTGCACCTTAAGCTCTAGGCTCCCCGGAGAAAGGCTGCTTGTCTGGCTGAGCTGGGAACTCACTCACCAGAGAGTCTGTGGAGGATCCCGATGCTGAGGCAGGGTTGAATCCGGGCAGGATACAGGGGGCCCTAAGGAGAGCTCCCTGTTGGCCCCATCTTGCTGCCACCTGGAAGACTGTCCTTAGCATGGCTGGGTGCTAGGATCCTAGCCCTGCCTGGGTGGGGACTGACTCCTGAAGAGTGCCGTCAGCTGCCCTCTGGGCTGTAGGTGCAGCCGTGTCCCACAAGCCTCTCCCTTCTGTCACAGGCTGTCTTTCAGCGGCAGCCTCCACTGCAGAGAGACTGGGCAAGGCCGGGCTGGTTTGGTGCAACACCCACAGATGCCTGCAGCCTTTATCTGGTCCCAGAGCCCCACCCAAGCGCTTGGGGTTGCGGGGAGCAGATGCTGCTTGGGCATGAAAGAGCAGCAGGACTGGCCTGAGTTGTTAAAGGAGTAACAGTGTGCATGAACAAATGCTATGGGGTACATGGAGCCTTGGGGAGCTGCCTTGGGATTTCTGGGGGAGATCCCAAGAATATTTCCAGAAAGACAAGGGAAATCTGTTCTGTCATTGGAGGGTATTGGTGGAGCATTTGTGGTATGTGCTCTGCAGTAAGACTCTGAAAGCTCTGGTGTGATTTGGAAACTCAGAAAACCAATTCATAACCCTTAGACACCCTCTTCTTATGTCCCAGGCAAGGGTTAGCACAGGGGAGTCTCACCTCTGGTCCCTGGCTGGGGATAGGAGTTGGGAGTTGGGGAGGGCTTGAGGCAGGAGGACAGAAAATCATTTGGGAGGAAGCAGCTTAGCAAGGGATCACTCATGCTTTGGGAACCCCAGGGAGGGGGCGGTGGCAGCAGACAGTGCTGGGAGGTGGGTGGGAGTGGGGCAGTGGGGACTCTGCCACTGGCAGGCCCGGAAGCTTGGGTAGGTGAGTGGGAGGAGTGCTCTGCCAATGTCTGCAAGGCGGTGGTCTTTTTTTGATGGCATTGTTTCTTCTGTTGAATTAAAACTGCCCATTTTCAATTGAAAGTTCTAGTTTTTAATTTACTAAAATAAAAGCATATTCTGAAGATCAGAACTGGGCAAAAGTGGAATCATAATGATGATGATGATGATAATAACAGTGACAACTGTGATATTTTGGCAGTTTCTAAAAGATAAAACTGATTTAATAGGGTTTGTCTCACCCTCTGTATTTGGCCGCCCTAGAAGACTAGAATATAAACATCTCCCCTTACCTCCTGTGAAGGTTTGAATCAAACTTCCTTAAGGACTGGGGGAACCAGTTTTTTGATTGATTCAGGCTCTGGGTCTAAGGAAAGATATTTGAATTAGTGGCTGACATTTAAAAACAGGAAGTTTCCTGTAAAGCAGAAGGTCGAGGATCTCCGGAAAAGTGGGACGATCTGCCAGCAATCACCTCTGTTCCTGGGCAGCAGGTTGCTGCGTCTGGTGCCCTGTGGCTGTGGCTTGCCCAGGCCTCCCTGGGACTGGGCACCCTCCGTTCCCTTGGCCAGCCTCTATCTGTGTGTGATCCTTGTCTTGGAAGGTAGGACTTGAGGAGGAGACAGGACAAAAGAAGAATCCTAGAGAGGGTAGAGGGACTGCGGAGGAGACAGGAAAGGGGAGTGGGGAGAAGGGGCTCCTCGGTCACCCCTCACGGCTGGGAGCTGATCCCAGCAAGGAGGGCCCAGGAGGAGGAAAGGGCTGTCCCTCCAAAAACAGTGGGCGAACCTGGGGAGGAAATGGCTGTTTCATTGCCCAAGAGCCACCTGGGAGTTGGGTTATCCTCCCGGCAGGGGGATCTGATTTTCGTGTTGCCCGACTAGAGGAGTAGCACCCCCCTCCCACTTGAGTCATTGCACAATTTTTTGTTAAATTGACTTTCAAATATTTACATGATTGTGATTATGCAACATTTGTTCTCAGCCTTGCCACACACTACACTTATATTTCCTTTCTCGTACAACTTTTATTTTCTTGAGTTGATAATTTCAAAGGTTCAGCTGCGTGATGTGTCCAAGGGAACGCAGGGGAACGGAAGGAGCTGACCAGTGGCTGAGGTGACCATTTCCCAGCTGGGAGGGGAGAGCACCCAGGAGGGAGAAAAACGAAAGGAGGATCCGGCGATGTGGGGTGATATTGAAGAGCAGATGCGGAAAGACATCTGAGAACATCTGTAGGTGACACCAAAACCATGGTTATGGCCTTCCATTGGGGCGGCTAGAGGAGAATGGAGGAGCCCATCAAAGTCCATCTGGGAAGAAAGAGGTTCGAATTATTGACAAAGTGCTCCTTTCCCCCTTTCCAACTCCTTTTCCCACCATCTTGTGGATCCTCTCTGCAACACTGAGCCCTTCCTGGGTGTGGGCTGAGTGGTCAGCGATCCAGGGAGGTGGAAAGGTGCTGGGCTAATACTTCGAATAGGTGTTGTTACAACACGAGCTTTGGCCCCAACTCTTCTCCCTGTGTATGAATTAAGCTCAGAGAAAATTAAGAAAACTCAGCTTAGAGAAAGCCTCTCCTTAGACCAAGGCTCTCTGGACAAACAATCAGAAAAAAGGGGAAAGTCAGTGAAGGTTAAGCGTAACCGAGGACTCCTGCTGGATTCTGACCTAGCTTGTTGCCTGCCTGGTTCATTTCCAGCTTGGCACCCATGGGTGAATGTTGAGTTTGGGGGCTTCTCTTGCTGAAATACTACCTGTCCCCAGACGCGCATCCCGGACCTGGTCTGACTGGTGGCGCACAAGGACGAGCAGCGGTGCACTGGCAGGTGTTTAACCATCTTCTCTGGGGTTGGGGGAAAGTTTGGGGAGCTCTGATTCGTAGCATGTTGCCAATTTCTGCAGTGTAAACATTCCCACTGCAGCCGATTTCAAGCTACCACTGTGAAGTCACTGACCCTGAGTGTGAAGTGAGGAAGAGATGTGCCCGGCCGGCTCTTGCAAACCAGGAGGAACCGGCCCCGGCATGCCACTGCACCCGCGACTTCTCTCGCTCCGAGCGAAACAATAGGAGTAACCAAGGCCTTGGCAGTTTAGCAGATCAGTTCTTGGTCCCAGGTCTAAACTTGCTTGCACTTCCCTGTCTTTTGGGGTTTCCTTCCCTCATAAGACTGACTGTGGAGTGCTTAGTCTCCCCAGCCTGTTCTTGCTCCCCCCGCCAAACAATAGGACATTTTTTTTCTGTGTTTAAAGATATGTACTGGGCC